TTTCCTCCTCCCCCAGAGGAAAGCTATGTTCAGGGGGAAGTGACTTGTCCAAGGTCACACCAACCTGAGCTCAGGTCTCTCAAGGCCAAACCTGCCTCAAGGTCACAGGAATGGTGAGCCCTAGGTCCTCAAACATTGCTCTGCTGGCTGGACGCAAACACCCAGTGTCTCCTCCACGCCCTGGTTCCTGTGGGGTTCTTCCTGCTCCTGTTTATGCTGAGGTCTTCCCGCAAGTCCTAATATGGCCCAGTTTCCCTCACCCAACGTGCTGGATGGAACCCAGTAGCATAGGCTCTGGCTGGGCGCAGGCCCAGGCCCCTGGAAGAAGGAACGAAACCACGTTTCCGGGTGACATGCCTCCTCTCCACTCTGCCTGCCCAGGAAGGAGAACCTCCTCAGCAGCGCGTCACTTGGACCCTGGTCCTCGCCGTGTTCTCTGCTGTGCTTGGCTCCTTGCAGTTTGGCTACAACATCGGGGTCATCAATGCCCCCCAGAAGGTGAGGCTCCTGCGGCTGGCAGAGCGGGGGTGCCCAAACAAGGAAGGCAGGGGACCGCAGGGATGAGCAGAGAGGGACGGGTCTGCAGGAACTCACTCCTCTGCTGTCTCCCCAGGTGATTGAACAGAGCTACAATGAGACATGGCTGGGGAGGCAGGGGCCTGGGGGACCTGGCTCCATCCCCCCCAGCACCCTCACCACCCTCTGGGCTCTCTCCGTGGCCATCTTTTCTGTGGGCGGCATGGTCTCCTCCTTTCTCCTTGGCGTCATCTCTCAGTGGCTGGGAAGGTACGGGGCTAAAGGACAAGGGTAGGGAACAGGAAGGGGGCTGTTGTACAGGCACCCTAACTCTCACAGCCCACTCTCTGCCTGCCAGGAAGAGGGCAATGCTGGTCAACAACGCCCTGGCAGTGCTGGGGGGCGCCCTCATGGGCCTGGCCAACGCTGCTGCCTCCTATGAGATGCTCATCCTTGGACGGTTCCTCATTGGTGCCTACTCAGGTACCCAAGGGCACCATGGCCCCGCCCAGTACCCTGCTCTCCTTTACTATCCCCGGGTTTGGTGGGAAGGAGTGGGCAGCCAGCTGCCTCAGCCCCCTCTTCTTCACTCTGCCCAGGGCTGACATCGGGGTTGGTGCCCATGTATGTGGGGGAGATCGCTCCCACTCACCTGCGGGGCGCCTTGGGGACCCTCAACCAACTGGCTATCGTCATTGGCATTCTGATTGCCCAGGTGATTGGGCCTGCCCTCACATGGGGGTGGGGAGAGGTCTGGGGAGGGGCTCTGGGGCACAGGCTGAATGATCTGCCATCCTTCCCCCACAGGTGCTGGGCTTGGAGTCCATGCTGGGCACTGCCACCCTGTGGCCACTACTCCTGGGCATCACAGTGCTGCCTGCCCTTCTGCAGCTGGTCCTGCTGCCCTTCTGCCCAGAAAGCCCCCGCTACCTCTACATCATCCGGAACCTGGAGGGGCCCGCCAAAAGGAGTGAGCCTCCACCCCACTTGCTAGTGCCTGTTCCCGCCCCTGAGCCTCTCCCTGTCCTCTCAGTCCTGACCCTCCTCGCTTCCAGGTCTGAAGCGCCTGACAGGCTGGGCCGATGTGTCTGGAGCACTGGCTGAGCTGAAGGAGGAGAAGCGGAAGCTGGAGCGCGAGCAGCCACTGTCCCTGCTGCAGCTCCTGGGCAGCCGAACCCACCGGCAGCCCCTAATCATTGCAATTGTGCTGCAGCTGAGCCAGCAGCTTTCCGGCATCAATGCTGTACGTATGCAGCAGCCTCCAGGAAGGGCAGGGTCAGGGAGCAGCCGGAGAGGAGGGGAGAGGGAACAAGCCCCCTCCCTTAAAACTCGGGGTCAGTCCAGGTTGGTGTGGCCGCAGGGAAGGAAGGAACATCCCTGCCATCCCCTTTTTTCCTCCCCCACGTCTAGGTTTTCTACTATTCAACCAGCATTTTTGAGACGGCGGGGGTGGGGCAACCAGCATACGCCACCATAGGAGCTGGAGTGGTCAACACAGTCTTCACTTTGATCTCGGTAACTGCGGGCCTCTGGGGTGGCCACCACCCTTGGCTTCACACCCCTTGGTTGTCTCCATCCACTTCCCATCCTGAAGGCCCTGACTCTCCCTGCAGGTGCTCTTGGTGGAGCGGGCTGGGCGCCGGACTCTCCATCTTCTAGGCCTGGCAGGAATGTGTGGCTGCGCCATCTTGATGACTGTGGCTCTGCTTCTGCTGGTGAGGCCTGGGGAGTGGGAAGGGGACCAGTGGCCCAAACCCACGGGGACTGCTCCAAGAGGCTGTGTCCAGCCAGGGCCACTCCTCAACATATGTGTTTTGATCCTGGAGCCGGCCTGTGTGCTGGGATCATGGTCTGTGCTCCCTAGAGGCCCAGGTTGCACTTCCTCCCACTCTGGGCGGAAGCTGTAGCACAATTCTGGCAGCCAGGAGGGAGAGCCCCTGTCCAGCCGTGGGAACATAATTCCTAAGGACCCAGCTTTAGAACCAAGGGGAATTGATCAGCTTAAGAGCCGAGAGTCCATACCATTCCCTCGGCCTTGAATTGGCCTAGGGAAACCAGCTGAATGTCAGTGTTTAGAGATGCTCAGGGGTCTGCTTTAACCTGGGGTGGCAGACCCCCGTCCCCCACGAGCTGCTGGGAGGGGTTGATTTTAGTTCTCTGGGTTGAGGGCAAAGGAAGATAGAAAGACCTGACCCGAATTCCCACCCCCCCTGCCTGGTCCCCAGGAGCGCGTTCCAGCCATGAGCTATGTCTCCATCGTGGCCATCTTCGGCTTTGTGGCATTCTTTGAGATTGGCCCTGGCCCCATCCCCTGGTTCATTGTGGCCGAGCTCTTCAGCCAGGGACCTCGCCCAGCAGCCATGGCTTTGGCTGGTTTCTCCAACTGGACGTGCAACTTCCTCATTGGCATGGGTTTCCAGTATGTTGCGGTAGGTGGCCTCTCCCATCCAATCTCCCACCATAGGCCGGAGGGGGGGCGGGGACTCTCAGCCATTCACTTCCCGTCAGGCACTCCCTCAGCTCACAGACTACTGGTCCTGAAGATCACTTTGGTGGACCCTGAAGACACCTGCCCCACCTGCATTAAAGGAAAGAAGGGAGCTGAACTAGATTGCATAGCAATAGAGGTGTCTTCAAAACCAACTAGTGGCATAACTTATTTAGACTAGGAATAAAATGATAAACTTCATTATTAATACTGTGAATGTTGGATCCACTCTCAGTACAGCAACTCAGGATGGGAAGAGGGTGAAAAACTATAGGACAGTTGGGGTGCAGAGGATCCTTTTTTCACTAAATTCTCATTCCTGGCTATTTCCATTACCCTGCAAAGGAGCCACCTGCTACCTGCTGTATCCCTGCTCCCTAGGAGAGACTTTAGTTCCTAGCTTGCCTGAGACTGCCCCTCCCCTCCCCTCCCCTCCCCTCCCCTCTGTCAACACCTCTTTCTCTGCCTGTCCCAGGATGCTATGGGTCCTTACGTCTTCCTTCTATTTGCGGTCCTCCTGCTCGGCTTCTTCATCTTCACCTTCTTAAAAGTGCCTGAAACCCGAGGCCGGACGTTTGACCAGATCTCAGCTGCCTTCCATCGGACACCCTCTCTTTTAGAGCAGGAGGTGAAGCCCAGCACGGAACTTGAGTACTTAGGGCCAGATGAGAATGACTGAGGGACCAGGCAGGGGTGGGAGAGCCAGTCCTATGTCCCCAGAGACCCCTCCTTTCCTCGGTGGCACTTTAACCCTCTCTTCCCCAGCACTCCCAGGGTGGAGGAAGCCCCTGCTGCCTGGTGGAATTGGGAAGCTGGAGGGAGGGGTGGTCCGAGACCCCCTCATTTCCCTCGTGTGACTTTCTTGGATTATTTATGTGTTGTGGTTAGGCTGTGGCCACCAGGGTGGGCCGTTCTCCCCCTTGTCCCCCTCCTCCTTCCTCCATAGTTCACCCCAACCCGCCTCAGCTCCAGAATACTTTGCCCCTCTGCTAGAGAGGAGGATTGGAGGAGAGGCTCTAGGACTGACTTTAGGGGAGGTGCACTGAAGTACAGAGCAGGAGTGGACAAGGGAAATCCAGTTTCCTACCACCTTGGACTCCTCCCACTCTGGCACTCTCTCTGAATTCTTGTCACATAGACTCTGGGTGAAGAGGGCTCTGTCTTGACTCCTCCAAGGCGAAGGATGCACCCTCCCAAGGTCTAACCTCACTTCTCACTGAAGGCTTAGTCCTCTTGCTCAACCTTCCAGGGCGAGAGGGAACACCTGCCCATGTGTGAGAGGAAGGGATAGCAAGCTCTCGCCTCTAAACGCAGGGCTCTGCTCCCAGAGGCCCAGCTCTTTCTTCCTCTCCCATTCTGGAAGGTGTTGAACCCAAAGGCTTTTGACCAACTAAGGGACATTTGAAAGGCTGCCTCTAACATTAGGCTGGGAGGAATCCTAGGATATTTTTGTATATGCTTGAAAAAGAAGGGGCAGGGAGAAGAAACCAAAAGTCTGTTGTATTAAATGTAAATATATAGATACATATATAAAGTCACTGTATGAGACAAGCGTCCTGTTGTGGAGGCACTCAGGGATGGGCTCAGACAGGGATGGACCACAACTTCCCCTTCCCCCTCTTCCTCTCTATCCCACCCCACCCCTCAGCTCCCGGGCTGAAGAATCCGCTGGATGCTGTCACTCATGCCCCCACTTATATTTCTAGTCATTGCTTTAATTAATAGTAAATTAATAAGTTGTAGCTGGAAGTGTCAGACTGCGCTCTCGGCACTTTACAAAACACTTATTCTGCAAGGGAAATATTATCCCCATTTTACAGATGGGAAAAGTGGCTCTCACAGGTATGAAAGTGCTTGTTCAGAGCGCCACAGCTAGAAACATGGGAACGATTCATGACCAGGCCCTGCCCCTGCCCCACAACCTCCTCCCCACCTTCACCCGCAAGTTACCAGCAATTCTCCGAACAGAAAAGAGGCAGAGACCAAGACAACAAGAAAGCCTGTTTTTGTTTTTTACTGGAGGCTCAGGTGGCACATGACAGTTCATAAAATGGCTTCAGAGGTAGGGGGTCGAGGGGAAACAAAAATAAACTGGGGTGGGAAAGAAAAACAACCAGGAGGAGGTAAGAGCTGGCTGGTTCCTTCTCAGCCTGATTTAGGGGAGGGAGTTGATGCCTCTGAACAAAAAGGATGGATCCCTTCCTTCAACCCTTGGTAGGGGAGAGAGAAAAAAAAGCAAAAAGCTGTTGCTTTGGCCCTCCTGAGTCTCATGGAAAAGGGGGAAAAGCCAGTGTTTTGATGTCATGAATATGGGAAAGGGGGAGGGGGTGCTGGGTAGGGTGCAGGTCAGTTGGAAAACCTGGCAGATACCTGAGAGAAAAAGAAATGGACAAGTCATGACTAGTAACTTTTCAGGACCCAGTCCCTGCTCCCTTGGCTCCCCACCCTGGCCCTATCCGCGCAGCCACTCACCAGATGGTAGTTCTGGGTGTCCTTGAGTTGGAATCACTCCAGGATGGTGGTGGTGGGGTCCCCACTGTTGATGGGGGCTGAGGTCTAGAGAGAAGGGTGGTCAATTGAGACCTTCTTGCTCGTTAGGGCCCCCCAACTTCGATCTTCTCCCATCTTTTCTCTTCCCATTCCTATAACCCCTTCCCATTCCTCCTTGAGTTCACATCCATAGCTGGTGCTGCTGCACCAAGCAGAGCTGAAAGGGGCATCTGCAGGGGCTGACACGGCTGGACTGCCTCTGCTGGGGTTTCCTGGTGGGCGGGGTGCCTGCCCGAGGTGGGCCCAGCAGTACTGGCTCTGGTGTCAGGCTGAATGGAAGGGGTGGGGTGGGGTGGGGGCAGGGCCAGGGGATGGGGGAATAGGAGGATAGAGTGACCTGGAAGGGGAAAATAAAGAGGAGAGGGGGGAAGGGAAAGGGGAAGACAGCCCAAGGTCCTCACCTCCTGGGCTGTGGGCTGCCTGGGTCCAGGGGGCTGCTGCCGTCGCCGCTGGAAGTAGGGGCGGTTTCGTGGGCGCTGGGGCTCAGGCCGGGAACCATCAGTGGGACCTTGGCTGGGCTTGGTCTTGCCATCCCCACCTTCTGTGGTAGGCTGCTGGGGTGGCCTGGGGCGGAAAGGCCTGGGGCGAGAAGTGGGGACCCTAAAGGGCGTGGAGGGGCCCAGTGCGGACTGCCTCCTTCCCTCTCAGCACGCCCCCAGGAGAGGTGGACCAGCCAGCTTCCCATCCCCATCTCCACCCCAGGAGCCAGCCTTTTTAGCCCAAGGAGTTGCTTCCCCATGGCACCTATGCATTAATCTCTCGCTATCCAGTCCCGGCAACCCCACCCCCGCCCTAACCCCCACCCCAAACCACCAGCTTCAGGCTTGTCTGAGAACTTTGCTCTTCCCCTTCCCATCCTCCCGACCCTTCCTATACCCCTACACCCACCACCCCCATCCGATACCGGACAGTGAAGGGTAAGATAGGACCCTGGAAAGTGAGTCTTACCTTCGGTATCTGGGCCGGAATCTGGGTGGGGGAACCCGCTCATCTCCCTGCTGTTGGTCCCCCTCCAATGGGGCTGTCTCTTTAGGGTCAACCCCATCAGTGCCCTGGGAACACAGAGAGGCCCTGGTGAGCGGGGTAAAGCAGCTGCCTGGGAGCCAGGTGTCCAGAGCTCTTTCCAGCCCTGGGTTCCATCCTCTGGGGACTCTGGCTCTCTCTTCACCAACTTCCACTCCTTTCCTAGGACTTGGGAAGCTGGTTCCACATCCCGAGTTCCCCTCACCTCTATAGGCTGCTGCTGGTTGGGGGGCCTTGGGCCTCGCACAAAGCGCCGTCGGTAGAAGAAGGGCGGTGGGCGCCGTCGTCTGGGCCTCTGCCCAGGGTCTTCAGCTCGTTCCCCTTCGATGCATGCTTCTGTCCCACCTGACGGAGCCTCTGCCACCATGGGTGGTGGGGCAGCCGGGCGAGGCCGGGGGATAAATCGGCGGAACCTACGTCGATTGGGGGCATAGCGGCTACCCTTCACTGGCACCCCCCCAGGCCCAGTTACATTAGCAGCTTCTGCACCCTGGAAAAGAGGTGGGGAGAACTTGCTCCAACAACAAATGCACAACATTCCCAAAATGGCTCGAATCATTTGTCTCCCCCTTCTTCCAGCTAAATCCCCTCTCCAGCTTTCTTCAGCCCCTCTAACTTCTGTCCACCCTCCCTCAGGGGGGCAATGGCATGTTTGGACCCTTCTAGGAGGGGCCACCTCTGCAACTTGTCCTTTTGGAATAGCTGCTACTGAACCCTCTTGATTTTAAGACTGGAGGGCGAGGGGTGTGGGTGCAAAGGCCTGGCGACTGTCCATCTTACTGGAGAGCTGACTGACTCCGAGAGCCTGCGAAGGGCCCCGTGTAAACAGACATAGAAATGCTTGAAGTACAAAGAAACCCAGATATGAAATACTGAGTGATAAAAGGGGCATGTTCTTTAGGATGTCTCTTACAGCAGCCAAAGTGTTAAAGATTACAGTCTGCGTGAGAACAGTCTTGGCTAACGCGCCAGAGGAAGAGGGGCAGCGCCTGGGATGACATCCAGGCCACCTCCCACTCGGTGTCCCGCCACAGCCCCCAAACCTTCTCTCCTTCCACGACATCAAACTCCACAGTCTCCCCGTCTCCAACGCTGCGCAGGAACTTCCTGGGGTTGTTTCTTTTAATCGCTGTCTGGTTAGGGGAAAGGCCATGAGAAAGGTGAGGACCAGTCTCTCTCCCCTGCTGGGCCCACCACCCACTTTTACTCCTTTCAGCATTTCACTTGTGGGCTGGGGCTGGAGGGTGGAGCAAGGAGAAGGTAGTCAGAGTTTAGTAGGGGAAGAGCCATAAACTAGGGGCCTCAAGAACAACTGTGCAGTTACCACCATCCCTAGGACACACTCCCTCCTCCTCTACCCCTCAGGGACTTAAAAAAGGGAGGCAAGAAACATGAACTCAAAACAAAAAGAATCGAAACAAAAAGCGGAGACAGTCTTAAGTTGCAAAGTGGGTAAAATGTACTGTGCTTCTTACCTCGATCCCACTGAGAGCTCTTTCCACCAAAGCAGTGGTTCTCAAACTGTGGCGGGCATCAGAATCACCTGGAGCGCTCGTTAAAAGATTGCCGCCTCTCCCCCAAGTCTGATTCAGTAGGTCTGGGGTGGGGCCTGAGAATTTGGATGTCAGGTGATGCTGCTGGTGCAGGGACCGCACTTTGAGAACCACTAGCCTGTGTCCTTTCCCTCCGGACATCGCCTGTGATTCATTCCTGTGGTGTTAACAGGTCACAGCAGGTACTGCGCATGCCACGCGCAGAGGGCAGCGCATACATTTCTGACGGAGAACCCAACACAAGTGGGACCAATGGCAGTTAATTTGGGCACCTGATGCAGATGGGAGGGAAACCACTTCCTGGTGGACATGCTGTTGGGAGGTAAAAGCTGCAGGAGCATATCTGTGCTGCTCAGGATTATGACAACAGCCTTTCAAGAGAGGGCAGGTTCCTTCCCTCAGAAAGCCAGCCTAGCTCTTACCTGGTGAACAAAGACATCTTCCTTGGTGTCATTCCTGCAGGACAGGATGGCTGTTAGGGGGTGGCTTTGGTGAGGTGCTCACCTCCCCCGGGGGCGCCCTAGCTGCCCATCCCTAAAATCCGCAGGCCCACCCCCTAGCCTTCCGTGGCTGATTGGAGGTAGGAAGAGAAGTATACCTATCCCTCGGTGGAAAACCTGGGCTTCATGAAGAAAGGGTGGAGGAGGAAAGGAGATTCACTTTGCGGGAGCTGAGCACTCCACCCTCTACCGCTTAGAACCTGGTAGCGCTGGGTATAACTGTCCCTGTCAACACCCCCTCATCCCCACCCCCCATCGTGGTTGGAAAATTCCACTCCTGTCTCCTTCCTTCTATAGTCAAGGAGCAAGAAAGTGCAGGCAGGAGGAGAGGTGCAGAACAAGTCTGAGATGGGGACAGTGTGTCAAGAACTTGCTCTAAACAGTCCCCAAACTTCATTCTCAGTCCCAACCAGGAGGTGAACCCCAAGGTCAGGCCCCTTTTCAACACGCCAAGGGACCAAGGGTGAGAGAGAAGATAATATTCGGTCATTCTCTATTACGGCTTGCCTATTACCCCAGTTTATCCTAGCACCCCAATGCGGGGAGGGGAGAGATGTTCCTTCAAACCTCCCAGGAGTCCTCAGTTTTCAGAATTAGAGAAGAGCCCTTCCCTAGAACAAATATTCTAGCTGTAAAGCACTTGGATCTGCACAAAGGTCAGCCTGCTAAGAGGGAACTAGGGCCTCCCAAGAGGGCTGGGCTGGGCAGGGTGCCCAGGCTGGGGAAGGGCCCACAGGGGGAGACCTGGCTTTGCTCAGAATCTGCCACTAGGGCCTCTCCCAGTGCATGGGGGTGGGGTGGGGGGGCGGGGTAGGGGGGAGAGTGAGGCTGCCAAAGAGAAGAAAAGCAGCAGCCTCTGGCTGGGCTGGCTCCTTCCCCAACCCCCACCAGCCTCAGTCCCATCAGGTGGGGGTTTCAAATGAACCAACAACCCTGTAAGGAAGATGAGTTAGGAGAGTGCTATGTGTGCCACCCGAAACAGGAAAGTGAGTGCGGCCCAGCGCCCCGGGGCACAGACAGCAGGTACATTCTGCCCCAAAGGTGAGGCAAACTAAACCAGGAGGTGAGACAGACAAGCTGGGAGGGTCGGAGCAGGTTTGCCAACTTCCTAGATCATTAACCCTCCGCTGCCCTTGAAGATGAGGAGCTTTATCTCGCCCACATTTGTGTTACGATTAAAGGCTTTCAATCAACGTCAGCTGGACATTGCAACCATGTGCTTCGGCAGGCAGGGGTGGAGATGAGGTCGGGAAGGTGTCCACGCCCACAGGCCAGCCGGGAAGACACCCCTTCCTCCCCCTCCCTAGGTTCCTCAGATACCTGTTGATGAATCCGTAACCATTTCGGACGTTGAACCATTTGACAGTGCCCAGGACTTGGATTGCTGCCAGGCAGAGATGCAGTAGGGACAGTAGGTGGGGGAAGAGATGGAGTCGGACTCAGTTTTGAGACACTCCAAAGCCTAACCTACCTTCCTACGGCCTCAGTTAAGTAAACTTCAAGTGGAAGCGCCCCCACAGGGAGGCTCGGGCTTTCCACACCCTCCAGCACTAAGACCTGCTCCTCGAAGCCTCCAATCCAGGCCTTGCACCTAGACTCGCGCACTCACCTGCTTCCACCAAGTCTTAATGTCAGAGCCCCTAGTGCACCTGCTTCCCGGGCTTAGCCATTGCGGGGCACTGACCCGCGCCAGCTAGGGCTGCTGGGCCAAGCCTTCCGCCCGGGGCGTGGCCAGACCCTGCGGTTCCTTCTCCACCCGAGGCCCTCGCTGGACCTGCTCACCACGCCCCCCCGCCCAGAAGGCAAGGCAGGACTCCCACCAGGGACCCCTCTGGTCCGCCGCCCCTACCCCGGCCAGTCCTTTGAGCCCGGGGCTTCCCAGACCCCGCCAGGCTCCACGGGCTCCACGAGGCCCCTCGCCCAGCCCGCCCGCCCCCTTAGAACCGCCCTGGCTCGCGTCCTCCCCCCTCACCCAGCACCGGCTTGTCCGCCTGGCTCCGGGTTGAGGGCGCGGGGGTCCCCGAGGCCGCCGTCGCCGGGTTGCCAGGAGTGTGGGGGCCCAGCGCCGACGGGGTCCCAGCAGCTGGGCCGGAGGCGGCTCCGACCCCGCCGCCGCCCGCCCCGCCGACTGCATTCTGTGGCTCCCCCGCCGGCACCGGCGCCACCAACGCTAACTTTTATGCCGCCGTCGCGAGAACAGAAAACGCG